CTTTAACGGTATAAGACATAGAACAAAGAGAGGGAGAAAGAAACATCCATGCCCTGAGCCGGATTCGAACCCGCGACCAGCGGCTCCGTAGTCAGGCACGCTAACCACTCGGCCACCAGGTCGGTTTGTAGCAATATTATGTCTTTATTGTTGCAATCCTAAAGAGTGCAATTTCATGTTTTGACCAAATTAGTCTATATTGTGCTTTATTATTTCGTTTTAAAATATATTCCAAATAGATTAATTCACCTCTGTTTTTATAAATATCAGCTAAGAATTTAGAGCTAATAGTCTTTATCTGAAATAATTGGCCGGGATAGCCTGGTTGGTAGGGCGTTCAGCCCATTTCGGGAGCTCCATCCCCACCAGCTAAAGACAAAGTGTACACAATGGTGACTGGTGCACGCTAAATCTGTGTGTGTCCCCCCAAGTTTCAATAACAAATCAAAACCTCTGGGGGTACTGGATCGAAGATTGATCGTGCTCTGGTTTAAGTCAAAATTAAGGTCTGGGGATGGATGGTATGTAAATGTCTCCTCCCTATAATACGGGCTGTGACGTATGTGTGTGGAAGAAATCGAATTATTGGCTATAGATGGCGCTACTGGAAAATAAGAAGACGCGCACTCCTCTGACTTAAAATAGGCTTGTCACTATTGACAGGTGGCATACGACCACAACATCTGATATAATTGTCATTCTATAGTACAGAACCCGTTATCCGGAAATCAGAAAACCGGAAAACCAAAAAACCGGAACGAAATTCGATAAATTTTCCCACCATTTTTTTAAAAAAATGTTTTTTTCCTCATAAGATTTTAGGATTTTTCTTTCTTTTTTTGAAGAACCTTACCATCATTTTGGAAATAATCATTAGTGTATTACTTCATCGTTTTTTCTTCTTTTTAAGATTATTTCAAAAAAAAATTTTTTTTTTTTTTAGTTGGGTTTAACAATAAAAAAAATGGCTTTTTGTAGCGACTCAGAAAACCGGAACAGTTATCCGGAATAGCGATGGTCCCGATCGTTCCGGATAATCGGTTCCCTACTGTAGATCTTTTTTCTTTTTATTACCGTACTGTTCTTTCAAATTAACTACTGTAATTCAGCGAGCTACTATAATATCATTGACAAGTCTCTATTTCGGTGCATGCATCGCGCATACTTAAATAAGTACGTAATTATTTCTTCACAACAAAATGAGGTTTCACTTTCATTGCTTGTATTTATAGGCGTAGTGTCGAATGCGGGGAAGCGTCCATACCATGAAGTTCACAGTAAGAAAGTAGATCACATGGTCGGTATTGGCCCAATGTGTAGATATGCTGAAGATCTTCCTCTTCTTTTAAAAGTACTGTCTGGAGATGATCGGAGGCTGAAGTTGGACAATAAGGTATTAAATATTTAACTGCTACTTTGGATAAAGAAAAAAAATATAAAAGCCAGTAATTCAAATAAAGTGAAGAATTAGAATAGGCATGAGTGTAGCTAACCCTCTTAGATCAGCTATATTGTGATGCCCCAAATCCATAGTCAAACACGTTCCAGCAATCATGATTGAAAGAAACATTTTTAATCCGAAACATACAACTAGGTACTTTCACCTAGAGAAGAAGCATACATAATTAGGACCAACCGTGTGATTTAAATCACATGGTAGCACCTAATTACTTGGTTATGCTTGGCAGGTAAATGTTGCAGCAATTAGACTTGGTTTATTATTATGCGGAATTATTTTATAAATCAGATTTAATTGGATACTAGCAAGCAACGTCACAAGTGTTTGTCTATCCTGATTGGCTTCTGAATAGTGATATAAGCGAATGCCCCAAATTTACCCACGATGATGTTCCGTATTTGAATGTAACTATAAAAGTTCCAAGAAAATACAAATATTACTCTTCAATGCTATATTTGATAATTTTTATTTTAATTTGCTTTTCCTGCAGTTGTATTATTCTTTTGCTTGTTAATTAACAAATTCCTGCTTTTAAAATGTGTTTATCTATTTTCAAATATTATTTTTATAATATATTCGTAAAGTTTGGACTTACGAGTTTATAAATGTGAGCAAAAGATTATCGGATTATCTTATAAAGTTTCTAATAGATGTTTCGAAATATGCAAAAAGTAAAATTAATTAAAAGCCCTTTTTTTAATGATCTCCTTTCTCAACTATTAGGAAAATATTTCCCAGATTGCGGTTATCTCTATGTTTGGGAGGTCAAAAATATTAAACTGCTTTAAAAAGTGTTTGTTTATTCAGGGAAAATGCGCTTTTGTATTCGATTTCGAAACTTAAAATATTGTCTGCACAAATTGAGCTGCGTCATTAAATGTAGTTCCTTGCACCATCAAGATTGCATCTTATCGTATAACTAGATCTTACCCTATTACTAGATCAAAAGTTAGTGTGTTTTTTCACATTTATTTTACGCACTGTACAGAGGTACATTGTTGTACGCCAAAATGGATGAGCTCAGTAAAACTTATAACTAACGAGAAACTAATAACAGGATGAATGTTATGATATATTATTTTAAGTAGAACTATCCAAGTTAATTTATACTGACCTCTTAAACTAATATAAACGTTCTAAATGAGTCAAAATTATTAATATTTAATGAAACATTCGGGGGGGGGGAATTACGTTTAGTTTACACCAATGTTCAAGAACATATTTCTATTTAAGCAAAATTCTAAGAAATAATGACTGTTTAGTGTGGTATCATTGATTAGAAATATTGCACGATGTTACTTTAATGAAGAAAACAACCACAGATACATTAGCTGCCATTAGCAAAAAACTAATAAAATAATAGTCATTGTTCAAATATAAGTTTCTTTTCGATGTGGCTTAAGAGTGAATGTTAAAACTAGTAATGTTGAAACAGAACTAAAACTTTTTTTTTCTTCCTTTTTTGAGAGGGGATTATCTTTATGAAAGATTAATGTTATTCTTTGCATACTTGGCATTTCATAATAAAATAAAATCCCAATATTAAACCAATGTTATAAAAAAAATTTTAAACTGAGGACAAATTTTCTGATTACCTAACGCAATAACTTTCTTCTTCCTGCTTAGGCTTATCTCATGTGAAGCACCTCTGCTTAAGTAGCATTTTGTGCCAAATGCTCCGAACCCAATTCTTCATAGCCTTTGTTTATAAAGTCTGACACTCCCTTAATATAGCTTATGTATAACTTTTTAGGATAGAGAGTGCCTAAAGTAGAAAATTGTGTAAGGGCAAAGGCGTCGCACTCATTTAAAATATGAAACGCTGATTCCACATCCTTGTAGCATTTCCAGGAAATTAGTTCTTGTAAAAAATAAACCATTCTATGATGGTGATTTCTGAAATGATAATACCCAGTAATGAAATACTGGTATTATCATTTCAGAAACCCCAGAATTGTTTATATCTTCGATTTTGGAAGCCTAAGGATTTCAGAAGCGATTTTTGCAGATGATCTGATAATCATACTTTTAGCATATTTTTTCAAGGAGAATTGTGGCAAACTTTGTTCATCTCCTGTTTATCCCATTTAAGGATAACTTCTCTTGGAGTCTTCATGTTGATGCCCCAGAAGGGTTCAATTCCTATTGGATTGAAAGAGGATCTCTGTTTTGCAAGTTCATCAACGCCTTCGTTTCCTTCAATTCCTGTCCTGGTACCCTGATAGGAATAATCTTATTTTTAGTTTTCAGTTCTCTTAGAAGGATTCTATATTCCATAACAATTTTTGATTTAATTTGGAATGAATTAAGAGCCATTATGGATGCTTGATTGTCGCTGAAAAATCCACTTACCGTTGTATCCTTTTCTTATATTTTCCTGTAGACAGTTGGGGATAGTGAGAATCTCTTCCTGAAAGACAAGTGGCATACTCATCAAGATAATTAAGCAGATTGACTCTCCAATCCAAAGAGCTTACCTTTCTTTGATCCATTCGCAAACCAGATTAGATCATCAGATTTTATACTAAACTTGTTGTTGTTCCATTCGTCTCTGGTAGGAAAAATTGCCTCAAATAGCCTGTCAAACACGTATATTTTCTTCAAATTGTCAAAAGGCACCAGGTGAGTGAGATGATGGCTTTTCTTCTGGATTCTGATATGGCTTTAATTCTGATATGGCCTATGGTGGTAGGCTTGTCATACTATTGATTTTGCAACTTCATTCTGTATGGTCATTCTCGCAACCTTGCATATGAAGATGTATAATGGAGTGAGGTTTAAAATAATTTCTAGAGCTCTGGTGCGCATTGTGGACATTACACCTGTGATACATAGTTTTTTGTTCCACTTTAACCGCCATATCACAGAAGCATAAGTAATATCAGGCCTGACAATAGCTGCGTACTTCCAAAACATCATTTTCGGATGAAAACTCAAGTTTTTACCAAGCATGCGTCTGTCATGATGCATTTCTTCGCTTGATTAATCTTGTAATCAATATGCTTGTTCCAGCTGAGTTTTTGGTCAAGGATTAGGACTAAGGATTTCACCTTAGAGGCAAAGTTAATTTGGACATTGAACAGTTTTAGGATGAAAAACACTATCCATTTTATAGTGAGAGTGAATGGCACGAAATTGGTCTTCTGTGTATTTACATCCATTTTAATGCATTTTTTCGCTTGATTAATTTTGTAATCAACATGTTTGTTCCAGGTGAGTTTTTTGTCAAGTATAAGGCCTAAGGATTTCACCTTAGAGGCAATGTTTATTTGGACATTGAACAGTTTTAGGATGGAAAAAAACATCCCTTTTTATTGTGTGAACGAATGGTACGCTATTGGTCATCTGTGAATTTACATTCATATTCCTTTCTATGCACCATTTCCTTATATAGCTTAGAAAATGTTGCATAAGCAGAAAGTTATGTGAAAATTTTTACCAATGATGTGTATGATAATATCATCCACATATCCCTGAGTATAGTAGCCTAAATCGTTTAAGTGTTTCATTAGAATATTTACTACCAAATTCCAAAGTCATGGTGATAAAACACCTCATTACGGACAGCCTTTAATAATCCTTTTTTTTCAAATTTCTCATTGAAGATATTCATTTGAATAACACTATCCGACAGCGCGGTATTAGTCCACGAATTCGAAGTATTGTTAACCCCTGTGTCCCATAAGAGATTAAGGATAGACATGTGAGAATTATTATAAAATGCACCCTGCTTAGAAAGTAAAGTGGCTAAAGCAATTTTCTTTCCGTCCAGGGTGTCTTCAATATTAGTACATGCTGATGTAAAGAGGTTGTTCTGTAAATTTTACGGGTTTGGTTGGCAAATTGTAGATTGTGCAAGAAACTGATATCGCCCATGTTTACCCTAACATTCCTAACAATGATTTTCTCTATAATTTTGAGAAAGAATGGAGGTAAGCTGATGGTCTGAATTACTTGACCTAGTCATGGTTATTTTTACCAGGTCTAGAAATAAAAAAACAGTCCTAGTGTCTTGCCATATCTTTGGAATGTGTCCTAGTGCCAGACTAGCCCTATATATTTTAATCAGCACTTAGATAATGAGATCTCTTGCCATTTTGGATCATGATGGGCATAATTCCATCAGGTTTTGAGCTTTTTAGGGGTTTAAAGGTGAAGATAGTTCATTAAACCTTGTTGTGATTGTAATGATTTCAGGATAGATCCATTGATTCATATTGACTCGTTTCATAGAGCTACTGGAAGGCTGCCCTTGTTACTATTAATATCTCTGGCTCCTAGAAAGTGAGTTTTGGCCATGATTTCCAAAACCCCTTTTCCAATACTAGCATAATTACCATCCTTATCTTTTAAGGTACCAACCATAACAAGGTTCATCCCATCTAAGAATTATTTGGAGTATAACTCCTTTAGTGACAAAATTTACCTCTAAACAGAACTTTCTCCAGGAGTCTTGTTAGCTTTTTCTTACATGTTTGTTATAAATAGTGAGAGCTTTCCCGTAGTTGTCCCATTTACCACGTTTCATTGCTTTATTGAAAAGTTTTCTAACATTTCCCCTCTCGATTTCTAAAGAGTTGTTCCACCAAGGACATTGGGGTTTAGCTATTTTAGTACGAATTGGGCAATTTTTGTTTTATGAGCCTAGACCTTCTCTGTGCAGAGATTCTGCTGTAACTGCTAAATCATAGTTGCTTTTAATATATTTCTCTCCCAGTTTACTCTTCAAGTGAAGGATATTCCATTCAGTTAGAGTAAGCCAACCATTATGTGCCTCGACCTTTATCAGGACCTCTTTAGAATCCAGTTTACAGATTTTCAACAGTTTAGCAATTTTCCTTACATCACCCACCAAAAGAGGTTGCTCCTGCCAGGGGTTTATTCCATTCATTGTCTGTTTCAGCCTTTTAGAGCTCTCCAGAACAGCACATTTGATAATAAATGCCTCCTTTACCAGAACCTGCTTCATCCTTTGCCTTTGCCTTTTCTCACCGTTCTTCTTGGGCTTTTTCCTTTAGGTAAATTCGGCGAACTTTTTCTGCCGAATAAGATTTTTCCCTGTGCTTCGGACAATTTTTTCTCGATTATTATCCCATCCAAAAAAGCAGTCATGCTGTTAATGTCTTCCTGCCCTACTTGAGATGTGGATTGAATAGTCTTACCATTTCTACTTCTTGCCATGAAGGATAAAATTCTTCTTCTTCAATTGATTTTCTCTCAGTTGAGTTATCTTCAGCAGATAGATTGGCTTTAGAAGTTTTCTCCTGCATAAGCAGAAATTTTAGTTAAATTTTTGTCATAATCAGCTTTTAATTAACTCAAAAAGACTCAGGTAGTAAAAGTTCATTCCAGTATTGCCGAATATGCTTGGTAAGGCTTGGCTTATTCTAGAGATTTGCCGCTCACATAAGATGCTCCGTTAAAACATTTTAATAGCAGTGCCATTCACCTAAAACAAGGGTCGCATAACGCCTGGCTTATGAAAGTTGGTTCTTGGTCTCTTATTTGATATTTAGAGGCTGTCGAATAAGTGATACTGGACATTCGGCTATCCACCATCTGCCAAAGAGCCTGGTAGCTACTCACGCCCCAGGTTGCAATAACTTTAATTTTAATATAATTTTATTTTATATTAATCACTGTTTCTTAAAATTATGGAGAAAAATGTTTCATGTTTTTAAATAAAACCAGAAGCTCTCAAATAATGTTCTAAACATCATGCAAGGAAAACTGGTCCTGTTCCATATTAGATTAAATTTTTAAAGCTAAAGAACCGGAAGCAAATTTTGTGGAACCAAATATGCATAAAAAGATGATAAATAATTAAAGAATTATAATTATACACTAGAGATTCATAGGTATTTAGAATTCTTTGCAAAGAATAATTGAGAGAGCCGTTTATTAGTTTCCACTACCACGTTCTTATAAATTTTTCTTTTTTTGAATTCCAGGTAAATTTCCATAAAGTTAAGGTGTATTACATTGAAAGTTTTCCAGATATACCCGCCGTCCCAGCTATAAAGCAAGCAATTAGAAAGGTAAAAGTTCTGTTTATGCTTTTTAAATATTGTTTTTCATCAAATCTAATTTTCATGCTTCTTTTCACACAAAAATTCACTCTCTAACTACTCTTATTCCTTTTTACCTATCATTATTCTACCTAGTGAAAGAGAAATATTCTTAAAAAAACACATATTCCATCCATATTTTTTATTATTTCATTACTATCACAAAAAAATAAACTTTTTATGATGACCAAATTACACTTAATAACGTTCAATTCCTTTTTCATTCGTAATCTCAAATCAAACTTAAACTACACCATACCATTGATACAAATATACGCTCAAGATTATTTAGTAAAAACTATTAAATATCCGTGCTTTACCAAAGCCCTCGTAAACATCTAATATCAACGGTTAACAGGATTCCAGCTAACACTGAGAATCATTTCTGTCATTCCGAATCTCGTCTTTAAGAGAGAACAGGGCATCATAAGAAATGGGTGTTTTTGGATACAATGTCTACGAACATCAAAAATATAACACAGTTTAAATGTAAGGAAACATAAGCACACGTATCTCTTTAGTTCAAGTTTCTTTTCTTTATGTCTGTTGATGACTATATCTTTGATAATATTGGTCAGAGGGAATATTGATGTGATAAATCATTAAATCTTTATTTTGAACATATGCCCGGTAGCAAAATTACAGAGCAAATCTGTAGCAATCTTTTCATAAATCCAAATCAGTCTGCGACTCTCGTCTCTCCAAATCAAATTCTAAAAATTAAGTGATAGATTTAACAATGATTTGATTTTTTGCTTGAAATCAGGATTTTTGTTTTTTTGAAGTCAGTTTTATCAAAGAGTTTTTTTTCTTCCCTTTTTTACAGTAAGTGGAACTGAATGAAATTGATCAAAACATTTAGTCTATTCGAAATTTATTGTCGAATTGTTAATGGGTAATTTTTTTATTCCTTGAAGCTTGAGAACATTAACTTCAAAAATCTAAATAAAATTATTTAAAAATTAAAAGGACAAAAATATTTTCAATAAAATTATCATTCAAATATTAAAAATTACCTCATGTTTTAATTAAAACAACAATTTTGTCCTCAAGCCAACTTACCATCAAGTTAAATCAAATATCTTTTCTGAAACTTTTACAGGTGATTGGTATAAAATGCAGATAAATTTTAAATCATCATTACAAACTTGTCTTGTTGGCACCAAAAGCAATATTTCCCAATCAAGGCAAAGACTCGGGTTTCAAAAGTTTTCCCTCAAAAGGCATTTTAAATCTTAAATATGCAAATTTTATTCACTATACCTTAGGTATTTTAATTAAAACTACTGCCGTAAATCTTGGCAACTTTGGCATCTAAGCAACTTTGCATCAGGTTTTATTAAAGTTTTCTTTCGGCATTTCCACAAGATTTTGGACCATACAGTACATAAATTTTAAATGAATCAATTTCTAATGACTCAATTTTTACAAACTTGTTTTTAGACGAATTTATCAATTTACCACTGGTAATATTTCCAAAGGAAGGCAAAGACTGACAAAAGTTTTCCTCTAACGGCATTTCAAAGCTTAAATGTGCAATTTTTTTAAATTAAAATTTTTTATTAAAACTGCAATTGCAAATCCTTGCCAACGTAGTCAACTTTGCATCTGACTTCACAAAACAATTCTGAAATTTCTATAAGCTTCTGGACAAAACAGCTAAACTGTGCCATGACTACTAAATTATGTCATAAATTTCTTTCTGCTGTTCATTCTAAGACTCGTCAAGACATGGCGAATGTGATGTCATAATAGGCATTGCATATTTCCGAGCTTAAAAAATTTATTTAATTTTTTTAACTTATTTTTTTAATCATTCTAAATCGAATTTTAATTAAATTAAAACAATTGTTTAATTTTTATTACATTTATGAAAAGCAAATATAAAATATTTTATTCTTTTCTAATTGATCAATCTAACGGCTATCTTTTTATTTCAATACTAATGTAAGACTCATTAATTCACTGTCGCGAATAAATCGAAAAAAAACTGTTTATAACTCTTCATTCTTTATTTCTTGGTACAAAAATATTTCAGTTACACGGTTATACTAATTTCAACAGTACCTTTGGTGATTTGCTTTCGCCAAATTATTTTCAAATTTAATATTTATTATGGGGAGTTGTCTTAATTTTTAGCATTGCCAACCTTGGATAGCTTCCCATGCTCCTAACTGTCAGTTGGGAACAATTCCTTTACTTTCAATTTGGGATTATTGGAGACCGGGGGGGGGGTATTTGAACCTCCCAGTCCCAACCTTTGAATATCAATCTTAACAGAAATTCTCGATGTGAAGAGAATGAATTTTTTAATCCCTTTAAGGGAGTTAATTTAATTATGTTTATATTTTTGAATGCGTCCATATTCAGTTTAATATTTACTCAATAAATCAATTTTTCCTAAACGAACTTTATTCGTTTCTCTGAGATAATTATCCCTTCATGATTCCTAAATTGAAATGTATCTCACCAAAATGTGATTCATATTACAATGATGCTTCCTTAATTTACCACTACAATTTAACTGGCGATCACAGCCTCTACAGCAAAGCTTCCCGGTGGGAAAAAGTTTTCGAACTGATTTCCCATCTGAAATATGCGGCATTTTATATAACTACGCATTTCTCCTTGCAGGCAGCAAGTTACTTTGAAGAGCAGTATGAAATAAAAGCCATTCCAGTAAGATTCGCAGAATTAAGGAATACCTTCCGCATCTGGGAATGCGAACGTGTAAAACATGATTCGCCTCCACTTAAAAACTTCATAGCAGAAGGCAAAGTCAATGTGTGGGTGGAGCTTTTAAAGAAATTCTTACATCTTTCAGAACATACATTTCCTCTCATCTACTTTTCTATAGCCGAGAATCGGGAGAAGAATCAACAATACTATGATCTTTTGGAACAATGTGAAGTATTAAAAAAGAAATTCCAGGAAATATTTGAAGAGGACGCTGTACTTTTAGTTCCAACACATCCTGAGCCACCACCATTTTATCATTTAACTACACCTAATATTTTTAACGTTGGCTACACTGCCATTTTTAATGTCTTGGGATTTCCTTCGACTGCTATACCTGCAGGTATGTGTGATGGGTTACCCATCGGTATACAAGCGGTGAGTGGACAATTCAATGATCACTTGACTATATCTGCAGCTATGGAGCTTGATAAATTGTTTGGAGGTTGGATTAGTCCGTGCCCAGTTGCGAACTTTTAATTATATGAAGAGTCATTGTCAATTCAATCATTCAATGTCTGCAACATGTCATCATACACCGAAGAGCCATTACATTATGACCATCCCCCATCTATAACAACATGAGCTCGTCCAGGTTTTCATAGTTTCTCCCCCAGGAACAATGTTTTCATGGAGCACAATAGGATCCATAATCCTCATAGAACAATCCCTGACGCCTATCAGCTACTTGAACATAGTTGCAGACCACGTTCACCCATTCATGGCAACAGTTTTTCCTGCGGGGGATGGTGTTTACCAACAGGATAATGCACCATGTCATAAGGGTCGAATCATCGAGGAACATTCCAGTGACTTTTACAGAGATGCCAACTGCTCCGGACACGCCAAAATAACTAAAAAAACGGTAAATAACTACAAAGAAATTTNAGTATAAAATCTTAAGATAAAATTTCTAAAACTGATATCTCTTTAAAAAGGTTAAAATTTTGGCTATAATTAAGTCTATTAAAAATTGAAATAAGTGAATTGCAAAGGAAAAACCTGCATAAACAAATAAATTCTAGTAAAACAAATAAATTCGTGGCATAAATCAAAAATCGTCAAATAAATTCGTAATATATAAATTCGTGAAAAAAAAGCGCTTTCGACAAAATACTAAAATAGAGATCTATCAACAAAGACTACTCACTTCTACTGGCTATTTCAGTTTCCGTTTTTAAAAGCGCTATATGTTGAGCCATCTCAGCTAGGTTTGGCATGTGACATTTTTAGCGGCAATCATTGGTCGATTTTCTAGCGTTGCCATTCGGGGAGTTGTAATGAGGCCTCTTTTTGTCGCCGTGTAAGAGAAATATATATATAGATAGTTTCTACAAAGAATTTAAATTTCTATATGTTTGTGATACTTTTAGAGTAAATGGTTCTAAACTGAGCACATTATGCCGCAAAATGTTAAGCAAATATTAAAATTCACAAATATAAAATCAAATAGTGGAACCTGTAAAAAGTGACCACCCTCGGGACCAAGTCAAATGATCACTATATAGAGGTGGTCACTTTATGAAGACTTTTGAAAAAGGACAATATACATACGGTAAATGCACATTCGACAAACTGTACTATATTAAGTAATAAATTAATTATATAACAACTCTAATAACTAAAATAAGTTTATCACCTCATAGATAATTAACATAAAACTCACCAATTTTCTTTTGATATTAGTTGAAGAACTTCCGTAGTAATCGATTTAAAATAACACATGATAAAATGCTGCTTAATTAATTCTGGCTTTTATTTTGGTTGTAATACTAGATTATCAAACACTTTCATTACAAGCTATAATAAAACATTCATTAAAAAATTCTAAATGTTTATAAAATTCCATTTACAGTAAAAAATTCAGAAATTTTTCGTTGCTTAAAATACTTCTTTTCAACAATTATTTTTTCAGTCATTCCTTCAAGTTTCCTTAGTAAATCTAGCATTTGTGGACAGTTATTTAGGGCATACGTTTTCATGTTCTTGCACATCTTTAACATTTCTGCGTCAGAAATTTCATCATTTTCTTCAATTTGAACTTCCTCTTCACTAACACAATCTTCTTCGTCTTTTTCATTTATAAACATATCGCAAATGTCTTGCTTAAGATTTTCTTGATCAACGGAAGTATTGCATGTAGGAATATCACTGTCAAAATTCATGAATAATATAGCATCCACTAGTTCATCTTCAGAAGGCAATTGATTCAATATATTTTGAATATGCGAAAGGCTATTGTCATCATTTTCAGCTTGTGAATCACTCATATCTTCTGAAATCTCTTGGGTAAAACCACATTTTTCAAAGCATTTTGAAATAGTCGTTTGAGGAACCAAATTCCATGAGTCGTTAATCCACATTATGGTATCTAGAACGTTTATGCATGAAGCAATTTGCATTCTTCAGCTCTGGCAATTATAGCTTGGAGGAGGAACTTTCTATAGTGTAAGTTGAAAGCTTGAATTATTCCTTGATCAAGTGGCTGCAAATATGACGTGGTATTGGCAGGTAGAAACTGTACCTTCACATTTGAAAAGGACAAATCACTTGGATGGGCTGGGCAGTTATTAATAAATAACAGAATCTTTCTCTTTCTCTGCTTCATCTGCTTGTTCAATGGCATAACCCATTCAGTAAAAACAGAGGATGTCATCCAGGCTTTTTTATTTCCATGCCACGAAACAGGTAAATTTTTGACGTTGACTTTTTTAAAACAGCGGGGTTTTCTGGCTTTTCCTATTACAAGAGGTTTCAGTTTCTCTCCTGTTGAACTGCAAGAAAGCAAAATGGTGATTCTCTCTTTTGATATCTTGCCATCTTTGCATTTATCTCCAATAGTAGCTAATGTTTTGTTTGGCATTGCACGATAAAACAAACCACATTCATCTGCATTGAATATGTCTTCTTTTTTGTAATTCTCCAATAAACCAGAAATTCGTTTTTTAAAGGAATCCACTGTTTCCATATCAACGTCATGTGACTCTCCGCACAAAATTTTCTGAGAAATGTTATGCCTTTTCTTGAATGATTCTAACCAGCCATTAGAAGCAGTAACATTTTCTACATTGAGTTTTTTTGAAAACTCTAAAGCTGCTTCTTGTAACAAAGGTCCAGAGCAGATGAAACTCTAGCATTCATGCCACGCATTTTTTAAAACCATTCAAAAGTAGCCTGATTTATTTCAAAATTATCAGTTTTTCGTATTTTCGACTCCTAGACTCATTTTCATTTTCTTCAAATCTGCTAATATACTCCAATTTTCTTTCGAAAATATTGCTCACACAAGTTTTACTGATTTGAAATTTTTCAGCTTCTGCCCTTTGACTATTACTTTTCAGAAAGTCAATAACTTCAATTTTATCTTTTAAACACAATTCTTTATAGTGCTTAGATCTTTTATTCTCCATAATTAAAGAAAAAAATATAGCTGAATTAAAAATAAACTCAATGAAAACTGCCAACGTTAAAATACTAACACTACTAACATATTAAAATACTGCAAACAAATCTTGCAAGCAGCACAGTGAATGCACAAGTTAACTCTTAGAATTTCTGAGAACATATGATAAAAAGGAACCCTTTTTACAAAAGGTAGGAGGTCAGCATATTCCTATCTCCCCACCTGCAAAAACAAGTTTCTTATACATCTTAGATAAGCAGAAAAAAGGGAAGGTCACCTTGGGCAGGTGCAAATGTCATTAAAATGTAGGATGAACTGATCACTTTACACATTCAGCAGGTGGTCACTATAGGGGACAAATTCCTATGCATTTTCTTAAGGAAGAAAATAAAACTTGAGAAAAATGGTCACCTTACTCAGGTGCTCACTTTACCCAGGTGGTCACTTTTGCAGGTTCCACTGTATTATTATTATTTTGATTTGAGTTATTCTTTTATACAATTGTTATTTCCATTTGTTTTAATTTAATGCAAGCTGTAAATACAAGTATTATGTGTTTTTCGAATTCTAAGTCTTCTGTAAATAAAGAAGAGAGCTTATAAAAGTAAAAAAACAACAAATTCGGATTGAGAGGATGCCATACCATGGGAGAAAATTTTCCTCACAAATTCCCCTTCACCTCCATTACTAATTTAAAATTTGAAAGAAAGAAAAAGTGTGTTCATGCAAATCTTGAGCAAGCCATGAAGTTTCACTTGATGAAAAAAGAAATTATTAAAATATCATAATGCAAACAAATTATTGGAAGAATCCAATAATTTGTAATCATATTTTATCGTCTTCTCCATTTAGTAATGATAATTTATCGTCTCATAATTTATCTTCATTTGGGCATTCTAAAAATTTCTTTTTAGTATTTTAAACTTCATGAGTTACTCTAGGTCTGTCTGAACTCCCTTTTTCCATACCTTAAATTTTAAGTTAGTTAAATAGTTGAAAAAGAATTTGAAACGAAAAGTTTCACCCGCGGTATGGCGTCTTCTTAAAAAGATTAGTAGGGGAGAGTGGGGTAAATTGTAACAGGGTACGATTGTAACAGAGCAAAAATTTCGAGTTTCGGGTTCTAGATTTGGTTACTAGGAGGCGCACAAGGTGTATTTATTAAATCTACATGTACACCCCTGCTGGCAACCATTTTTATGTACTTTTGAAAGAGTTACATCACAAAAGATATTTTCACGCTAAGTAAGTACTTTTTTTGGTATTAGAATATTATATTGTAACAAAGTAATTTTGTTTAAACAAAT